GTCGCGTCGTCGGCGTCGTCGTCGTCGTCGTCGTCGTCGTCGTCGATGTTGTCGTCCTCGTCGATGTTGTCGTCCTCGTCGTCCTCGTCGTGGTCGTCGTCCTCGTCGTCCTCGTCGTCCTCGTCGTCCTCGTTGTCCTCGTCGTCCTCGTCGTTGTCGTCGTGGTGGTGGTTGTGGTTGTGGTTGTGGTTGTCGTGGTTGCTGTGGTTGCTGTGGTTGTCGTTGTCGCTGTGGCTGTCGTTGTTATTGTTGTTGTCGTTGTCGTCGTTTCTGTTGCTGTTGCTGTGGCTGTTGCCGTTGCTGTTGCTGTCGTCGTCGTTGTCGTCGTCGTTTTTTATTCTCATTAGTGCTACTATCGCTATCTGTCGCTGTTCCTTTTTTTTATTTAATGTATCTCAGGTGAATTCATTCGAGTCCTTGACAGCAACCCAGGAATTTCTGAGGGCACATGGCTACGTCAATGCCACGACCCTGCGGAAGGATGCTGTCTTTGTGCACAAGAGCGCTGACGCCATGATGCAAAGAGTGGCGCAGTGGAACCGAGATATGTGCCCCAGAATCAATGATGCGTTGAGGTCCCTACGGAAAGGTGGCTGGGTATTGATTTGGAATCATTCCCAGTTTCCTTGGTTGTTCCCTAGCGGGACTTACTCACTTACTGGTTTTTTACAGTAAGGACCTTTGAACCCTGCACCCTTTACCCTACACCCCCGACCCTCGGAGTCATAATTCCTATTCTGGTTTCGGATTAAGGGTTTAGGGCTTATAGGGTTTGAGGTTTTTAGGGTGGAAGCCCAGATTCTAAAGCTCTTCTTGTGCTGTTTTTGAGACCCTTACTGCAGTCGCCATTGGGACCATCACACCTTGTTTTAATGATATCGCTATTATCATTCAGACGCTTTCACAAGCCTCAACTCCTAATCGTCAGTCAGAATTCGAAGCTCCTAAAGCTAAACCCCCATGAGTGGTATTTTGTTCAGCCGTATTATGATACTGAACATAGAGCAAGATCATATCCTCCTTTTGGGTATACCATGTGTATATAAATAACAGAACCTTTCTTGGTTCCACCACCACAAAATTCGCCACTCCCACGAGGCCTGGTCCCATTTCATGTTTCATGTTCCCTTTCATTTGACTCACGGTTCATTCTAAGGATCCGTTTCTCTATTCCGCCAAGGGAAGGAAACCTTATCATAGGAACCGGGAAGCATGGATCTCTGTTTTTGGAAACACCCCCTTCTGCAAGCTCATATGAGCTAGGGTCTAAACTCCTTAAAGGGGAGTTATACAGGAGACTATATAGGGGAGTACTATAGGGGTTATTCAGGGGGATACTAGGAGTGCAGACCATGGCTCATATCCCCAAACCCATCCGCAGCTCTAAGACTTCAATTATGGGACCCCGGTTTTGGTGTTAGGGCTTCGGGCTTAGTATGGACATTTGTTCCTGGGTTCCTTATTTACCTACCCTACCAGGGGTCCAAGTACCTAGTAATCATATATTGGCAAAACCTGTGCTGTAATCACAAAACCCAAGAACCTAATTATTGGGTACTTGGACCTTGCGGTTAATATGTACCCTACAAAATCCTAGAACCCTAAAACTCTAAACCCTACACACCCATTGAAGGCCCATTGGTTCGACCCCAAGGAAAGAGGTAGCGGCCCATGTTGAGGGCCCATGGTTGCGATTTTAGATTTAACCCCTCAAAACCAGGGTTTAGGTTTTAGCCTACCCTTCATCCTTTCATCCCAAATCCTCAACCCTAAACCTTAAACCCTGAACTTTAAACCCTAACCCTAAACCCTGCGTCTGAAACCCTGAACACTAAATCCCCAAGCCTGCTACCCAGGTGGGGACTTGTATCCCTGCAGCTGAACAAAGTGTCGCGACCCAGACCCCTGAAAATGTAGGGTTTAGGCTCCAGCATCCTAAGAGAAGGTATGAGGAGGCTGCTCTCAATTTTTTGGGGCTTAAGGTTCAGGGTTTAGGGCTTAGGGTTCAGGAATATATAGGGGTTATATAAGGGTTATATAGGGGTTATATGGGGCATAGCGGAAAATGACATGGAAACTACTGTAGGGCCTACATTCCAGACGCCTAGCCCAGTAAGCTCTAAATCCTAAAGCCTGAACCCTACATCAAAGGGTCTGGCAGGGAGACCATCAATGATGCAGGCGCAAAAATACTGCCAGACCCATGCTGAACTCGTGATGCGCTCTAATGACTCTAATGCCTACCTAAAGGGTCCAAGTACGCAAGAAATGGGTACCCTGGTTTTGGGTCATAGCAGTTATATTACAGATTTTGGTAAGTATGTTTAGCAGCTGCTTGGACCCTTAGGGTTATCCTGAACCCTAAACCCTAAACCCTAAACCCAATCAGTAGAGAACGCCCCGAAGCAAAGCGGGCGTCCGGTGTTGGGCCAAGAGCAACTACTTAGGGTTTAGGGTTTAGGGTTTACCTTCTTGCCGCAGGCATGCCTGATTTCGGGCCATCCGAGTATCCAATCAGGGTTTGTGAGGTTTAAGGGCATGCAAACCCAAAACCTTACACCCTACCCTGCCGAGTTCAGCAATTGAAGTAGTCTTGCGCAGTCCCAGTCGTAAGCGGCGAGGGGAAGCCCAAACCCTAATCCCCAATCCGTAAAGCCTAAACCCCAATCCCTAAACCCTAAACCCTGATTTAGTTTGAAATTTCACTCTGAACCTCAACCAAACCTCAAGCCCAGGAGACCTACAACATGAGGATCCTGTATTTCGGATCCTTCCCCTAAGGGTCCAAGTACCTAATAATCATATGATCCATAGTCTAAACTCCTTAAAAGGGGGTTATATAGGGGACTATATACGTGACTATATAGCGGAAAGGGGGATACTAGGGGCTTAGACTATAGCTCATGTACTTGCCCAAAGCCTGTATTATAAATACTATTATATACCCTAAACCCAAGTATCTAATTATTGGGCACTTGGACCTTTAGGGTTATTTGCAAACCCTAGAGTTGGAAACCTACGACCCACGCAGTCAAACCTTGCGTCGTCTCGGATCTTGGCGAGTTTGCTTCCTGCCAGGTGAGTTATCTGGAGCTTCAGGTTCATGATGTCGGCGGAAATTTGTAACCCCGATTACGTACAGCTTTCAAGTACACACCCCCTAATTTGCAGGTAAAACCCATTTAAGCTGTAGGTAAGTGGAGTTACAGGAAGGGGGGAGGTAAGATGTATTACACTGTGCACAGCTTCGTTGGCCAAAAATGTTTGTACATGTAGTCCGAGTACCTAATAATCATATACTTGCCCAAAACCTGTACTATAATTACTATTACCCAAATCCCAAGTACCTAATTATTGGGTACATGGACCCTAAACCCCAAACCCTAAACAGATTCCTCCTGAAACTTAAGCCATGAGCTGGCCCTAAGCCCCCAAGGGTTCAAAGTTGGGGCTTGGAGTTTGAAGGGTTTAGGGTTCAGCTGTGAGAGTCCCTTTAGAGGGGTTTGTAGAATCATTCTAGGACCTGAGAGTGCAATATTTATATACATATAGTTACACACACACACATGTTTGGGGGTTTCCCAAATGTAGGGGTACCTTTTTGGGGGGTCCAATTTTAAGGACTATAGCATTTGGGGCTTCATGTTGGGGTCCCCCCATTTTGGGAAACTACCAGATATATAAAGATAATTGTAGTTCAACTTGTATAAGAGTGTATATGGTATACGGTGTGTGCGTGTGTGTTATAGAGCCCTAGTGCATTATCAACAATGGACAACCAAATAGGAAAGCAAGCGCGGGCTATATACTTTATGGTCGTTGTGAGGCTCTTGGGCCACTCGCCTAAACCCTAACCCCGAAATGGGGTTTCTTTTTCGAGCAACTTAAAACCCTTAACCTCCAAACCTTGAACCCTACATTTCCTCCTTGGGACTCAGCCTGGACCTTGATTAGACCCTTAACCCTTTGGGGTTCCTTTATATTCCTATTATAGGTACCTACCTAAACCCCAAAAGTAGGTAAAATAATAGCCCAAAACACCAAAATATAGCCCAAAAGGCCATTATTCTACATACTTTTGGGGTTCAGGCAAGGGTTAACCCTTAGTAGGGGGCCTAAGTGCTATATAGTTTCCTTAGGCAGGCCCTCACAGTCTCAACATATTACCAACATATACCGCGGTCCACAAGGTTCAGGGTTTAGGGTTTAGGGTTTAGGGTGGTGGATGCATACAATCCTGCATGACCATTAGTACCTCTTATCTTGGGAATTAGGGCAGTATAGTCTACAGTGGTCATGCTGGATTTAAGCATCAATGGTAAACAACTACAGAACCCAATTTCGGTTTCATTATCCACTTGCTTTTCCTTGTGGATCTCCATTATTTTCGTAATGTGTTTCTATATACTCCTGTATAATCCCCTATAGCATCAACGGTATATCCCAGTAGGTTAGTCCCCTAAATCCAAAACTCTCGATCCTAAGCCCGAAAACCTAGATCCCAAACCCTAAACCCTAAATCCTAAGTTTTTCGGGCTTTTGCCATGAACTGAAAAACGCTGCGGGGAGGAATCTGGACTCGAACCAGGGAGTTCTGACATTAGTATAGAGTGCCCTGGCAGATCTTGCGGTGTTTGAAATGGGTTTAGGGTTTAGGGTACCCTAAACCCTAAACCCTAAACCCCTAAACCCCTAAACCCTAAACCCTAAACTAGGTGCTCTGAGAGCTGCAACCTCCTTAGGAAGTTTTTTTTTTGGTTTCTAGGGTAGGACCCTCAAGGAATTATGGGTAACATGTCACATCTAGGTCTAGGGAGACTACGCGCAGATCATGGGATGTTTTTAAGAGATTGGGTTGAGAGTTTTAATTTTCGGGTTGTGGGCATGTAGCCTTTGAGCATGTGGAGAGGGTCTGGTGCGTGATACTCAGGGGCCCAGAAACCCTTAAACCTGAACCATTCCGAACCGGTCCTCCACGCGAAAACTTTAACCCTTCACCCACAAACCTCTACACTACAACATAGGTCCAACCCCACAACCCCAAACTGACCCTGAATTCTACACACTTCCAAAGACAAATAGAGAATGGAGGTTGGCCAGCCATAATGGCTCCAAAGCCTCAACGCCTCAAATTCTAAGCCTCAAATTTCTAAAGCCTAATGTTTACGGTGTAGGCCTTAAATCTAAAAAGCCTAAAGCCTACACCTCTACACCCTACCTGTAACTCCAATTACTGACTAGGGGCTAAGGTCTACTAATCTGTAGGTAATTGGGCTTACAGGCGCACTTTTCAAGCCCAAACCTCTAAAACTCTACACTTCTTATAGCTCTAAACCGTAAACGTCCGAGACATAACCCATAGACCCCTAAACCCTAAGCTGTAAACCTCTAAACCTTGAACCCTGGGCACCTAAACCCCCAAACCCCTGAACCCCTAAACCCCTAAACCCCGAAAACTAAACCATACACCCTAAACCCAAAACCCCAGACACTAAACCCTAAGCACCAACATCCAAAACCCTAAGCCCTAAACCCTTAGAACTTTCGACCTAGGCGACTCGTGGACGGAAGGGAGTCGCGCTGCTCCATCATGGTCGGCCAGGCCAAGTGTCTAAGGTTTAGGGTTCAGGCCTTAGGGTTCAGGGTTTAGTTTAGAGGGTTTAGGGAGAAAGGTTTAGGGTTAATGGTTTAGGGTTTAAGGTTCAGGGTTTTGTGTTTTAGATTTAGGGTTTAGGGTATATGGGGGTTCGGGGTATAGGATTAGGGGTTTTGGGTGTAGGGCTTATAGGGCTTTTACCCCAGAAATGGAGAACCAAATGGAAACTGAAATCGAAAGGGAGTAGGATTTATATGGGTTACCCTACTACCCCGCTATACTACCCCTTGGGCTCCCCTTTGAGTAAGGTTTAGGGTCTGGGGTCTAGGGTAGGTAAGGCTATTTCGAGATAACTAGGAGTAGTTAAGGAAGAGCCAGAGGAAATCATGACCACGGAGGCGGAACGCCTTTAAAAGGCGGTTAACAGCTTAGCGTTTAGGAGTCGGTTCACAGGATGTCGGATTTCGAGGGATACATGGTCTGTATGGGGTAGAAGTAAGGTCCATACTTGAAGACATATTAGGGATCCTCATTTAACTTACCCTAAACCCTTAACCCCTAACCCTTACCAGCATATTGCTCAATGTGTAATTATTGGGCCCCCTGGGTAAGGGGCTCGTCTTTTTTGAGGGTTTAGGGATTTAGCTCCATATAGGTTGGTCGCTGAAAGGGGCTTGAGGGTTTCGGATTAAGGGTGTAGGTTTTAGTGGGCTTGTGGATTTAGGGCTGAGACTTTTCGGTCTGGCATGTCGGTCCTAGGGTCTAGGGGTTCAGGGCTTCGGGGGCATAATTACACATGTACACTTTATGTCATTCTATACTCCTAATGAACCGACATGGGGGCAATATCGGGATGTATAGAGGGCCTATAGGGATAAGAAAGTGGAGCGGAACATGAAACATCGTATGGAAACTTGGGATATAGGTATTGAGCAACTAGTTTTTGTGGATCCTTTCAGGTCACAGCATCTTTTGTGCACGGGCTGCTGGCCGGCAGATTTACTTGCGTAGCAAGTAGCTGATGCTGGGCCTGAACTCGGGGGTGCGCCGAGACAGACGCCCCCAGCAAGCACAAGCACTAAACCCTAAACCCTAAACCCTAAACCCTAAGCAACCCTTCCAGGTGGAGAGTTACCAGGTGGGTATCCGTACAGAGGGCTTACATAAGTCTCTTTTGGGGAGAATAAGAAGTATATCGGCAAGCAGTATATCAGCAGTATGTCAGGCTGATATGGGTCAAACCACACGCCTGAATGCTCCTTAGTTCGCCTACCTTAAACCGGTTT